ATTTTTTAGGGCAAGAGGCGAACAGCACTTGCGAACGGTTAATCGAAAAAATTTTGACTTTATCCAATGCTCCAATCACAGTTCCGACATTCTTACTCCTGCTATCAGTTTTTTCCAATCACACGCATCATCACGAGTTCACCCATAAATCTTTCCTCTTCGTCCTTTCTTTCGCAATTGCCATATTTTGCCTCCGTGTCTTTTCTAAGTCTTCCTTCGATATAAATTGCAGCACGCTCCTCTCACTGGCTTCAATTTCTTTTGCTCGGTTCATATTATGGGGTATACCCTTGATGGACTCAGAAAGTCAGCCAGTCCGTTTTGATGGCCACTTTTCATTTTGAGTCGCGGAGGAAGCGGCGTCAGACAGTGGATTCAAAGACACCGATCATGCGCCAGTGCTTAAGCTTCGGCAGAAGACAAGCTGAACGTGGACAGAGTCTGTCGAGTTCGAGGTTCTCACCGCAGTCCATTTTTGGCCGGCCCCGGAAACTTCAATGGGGTGGTTGAGCAAGTACTAGATGTTTCGCATTGTTTTCTGCAAGCATTCGCAACACATGCCGTAAACATCGCGACTGTGACTTATGCACCAGGAGAAGGAGCCACGTGCACCAACGCATTCCCGAAGACGTGAGCTTCGGACACTGTCAGCAACATGTCCGAGCAGCCAGTCGCCTCGGAAGACTCATTTCAGTCATTACACCTGAGGTCGCAGTTATTCAGTCATAGCCGTTGGTGAGTTCGGGGAGAAAATCCGCTTGAACGCAGACAACTTAGTCTCCAGACTGAGCTCTGCCTTAGTCTCAATGGGTCGGGCTGGTTCAAGCAGAACGACTTGGCCATCCTGATCCTCCTGTCGATCTGTACGCCCTATTTTTCATGACCAGTAGTACGGTCTTGAGAAATGTTAATTTGCCAACTTGCTTCGTTGCTCATCTCTTCAAAGGCACAGTGCAGCAAGCAGAAGAAAAAGAAAGTACCGAGTATTCGAATTCGGACACGTTCACTTACACATGGACAGCTAGCGGCACATGTATTACCAAAATTGATCACTTTGAATGCTGCCTGAAGAGAATCCATTATCCCGAAAAGAAATACAAGCATTATTTTTCATTTTTTACTCAAGTTCATGATTACTTTCTTATCAATTTAGCTTTCCATGTTACAACACAGTTATCTTTACCGCAACTAACATTTCATGTGTTCCACTTGCTGTCATTCTTCACGGTTATCACACAATTTTCTCATTGGTGATCATTCTCTGTTTGATGCGTCATCGAATTCTTGTTCATGACCTTCATCACGCATCTTCACTTGTCTCTTCTTCTTCAACACTTTCGATTTTTATCGTTTACATTAAATATACGGCCTTTAATTTCTCCTGTATTTCATCTGCCTTAATATTCATAATCGCCAT